CGCTTAGTCAGAAGGTACTCAGGCCACTTTAATGGCCCATACACGAACACTTTACTTACTAAATTGTACTGTAGGTTTAATAGACAATGCCTTGTTGCTCCTTTAACGGCTGTTCAAGCATTCACTTGACGTTTGTGCAACAACAGGGCTTTCCTGAAAAATTTAACTCCAAATGTTGCTAAAATGATAGCTCAACAATGGAAATGTCGGAGAAAATACACAGCAGTGCAGGTACGCTTGGTATCTCGTCTCACATTCTTAATACCACCCAAAATTCATCTGCACTCAACCTTTTCAGTAGTCATGTTTTTTCTTCAAGTTGCATAGACCCTAGCATTTGCTTGTAGGATTCTCTTGGCAGTGCCTTTGCGGTGAAGGTAGGCCTCTAGTTCTTCACCCTATATAATAGGCTTGTAGAGCTACCGCTTTTTTGCACTAGTGATGAAGGGAATAGTGTAAAGCGCCTAATAATCCCATCTTTTTTACTTGTTAGGAACAATTCACCGTCTTTTTATTACCATACCTCACAGTTTGAGTTTCGCGTCTACTCACCATAAATACTATCCTCCAGCGCCACAGCATACGTGAATGGAATCACAAATTTACAGCAAAGTATGATGAACCTATTTCACCTTCTCCGGTCTTCTTTCCAAGAACAAATAGGAAACCTGACAAATGGATATTTGCCCCAAAAATGGAGTTAATGTAATGGTGGTGCACACTTAAAAGTGATGCAGCTTGGCAAAGGAACAGCATAATCAGAAAGTGGTGAATGGACTCCTTTAATATTGGAGGAGTAGCGGGCTTCTTGCCAAGAAATTTATCCTTTGCCTTTAATGCGTTTGCGCTGGTGCCTTTGGTAACATGTTACCCACTTAAATTACGGCTGAAGCGTTGTGCATTTCTGCGCATAAATTGCCTCATGCGATTAATGGTTAGGATCGCATACATATTCGCCACCAAACAGAGCAACCTATTCATTTGCGATTTCGAGCTCCGTGCCCTATTTCACCGAATGGTTGTGTTTATTTTTGTTTCATTCGAGACACCGATTATTTGTTTCGTAGCTTTGCATACGGAATGCATTGAACTGTCCACTGACATTGAACTCGAAAAATCTCTCCTCTCACTGTGACATCTGCATTTCCTGCAATTGCTGCAAGTTGTAGACAGTTTTGTGTCGAAGAGCATTTTGAATTAGCGCGACAGTTACCATTTTGATAGACCATCATTGCATATCTTTTCTTTTATTCTCAGGTATAAACTGCCTTTCGCCGTGAGCACTTTTGACGTTTTCTATAGCTCTTTTATGCGTACTCTTTGACTGTCACGAACCCACTACGTTCTCTTGGTATTCGACAGCGAACAGAAAGAATACTGGCAAAGGCAAGAAATACAACCTATAGGACCGCCACATTTGAAGGAACGGTGTTCATTTATCTTAATGAACATTAATTCAGCATCGCCATTTACCTACAAAATCGCATATTTAAAGGCAGTGCTTACATAGTGTGAAGGCTCTTCAGCATATTTTAAAATGCGTACAGCTACACACCTATGCGGAACGATGGCGCTTCAACTGCCTGTCGGCTGGGACTGCTGCGCAAACTCCTCAATCGCAGCAGCTTGTGCATCTCTGTTGGTAGCGCTAACCCTCAGTCTCGTCTTAAAACTTCGGCTCCTTTGTACACGTTAAACGATTCATCCTTTTTTGTGGGCATTTATCTAAGTCCTGAGAAAGTGCGACACAGTAAATGTTTGTAATTCTTACAACCAGCGTTTAGTTATTGAGTTACTTAATGCACTTAGGGAAAGTGGTTGGATGCCAGACTTCAATGAACCCGTATAAGCATATTTTAAGTCACGAGGCTGGAACCAACAGAAGGTAGGTGTGCAAATGAGGCCAGTATTCTCACCACAAGCTGTCGACATATGTGATGGTCTGTACACTCTCTCTTCTCGCCATTTAGATCCCAAGCCGGATAAAGCTCCAGATGCATCGGAATTGCCAAGTGAGATTAGTGATATCACGTTCAAATACCTCCTCAGTTGCACACAAATTCTATGCCTGGAGCGGTTGATTCATTGATGCTTCAAATACAACATCGACTCGTTTTTGATGGCCGTGGAGGACAAATGGCAGAGGGCAGCGCCTAAGATAGCGTTTGAAAGGCAAGAGGAAGATTATGCACCACTTTGGTTATTCGTCTAACCCTTCTCCATGAAGTTGTTGTACTTTCACTGATGAGCTGTGGCTTCCCAGTCCTTCTGCACCTCTGCAGTTCGTATTCTGTTATGGTATTATGCCTGCTTTGCACTTCAGGAGACTCACTGTACCACACAAATTTACATCTCCAGTAAATTGCGGCAAACAATCAACTACTAGAATGGTCGCAACTGGGGGAGAATATTGGTAAACTGTCCTTTATAGGCACAATAATGCAAGGGCTTTCTACATGCTTTTTAAAGGAATATAGATATAAGGATGCAAATCTATTGTCCACCTCCTTGCACAGTTCAAATACAATAACAGTGCGGCTAAGTGGAAGCATTGAAATACAGTTCTCACTGATGCGGTCAAATGAGCATGATCAGCAAATTTTAGGTGAATGAAATACAAATGCATAAAGTGCTGATGACTCTTGCAAACTGAGTCGCTTATGTCTAGGCAGATTGCCCTAACTAACGGTGTGAATCAACTTTGGTGGTGTTCTTTCAATAAAATTTTGGCCCCGCCTTGTTTCTGTGGAGCAGTTTTATGCAACACGGTGAGAAGCATAATGGGATTTAAGAGCACGAGTTCGTTCTTGGCGAATATGGCTGTCTTTATCAGAGCAAGCTAGGCGCCAGGCTGTCCTGGACATTGAAATATGCGCGATGCCTAACCGCAAGTGAGATGTTAATGCACTGTTGAATTCTTATTGTTTTCAGTAAAATGGTTGTAAAGTAACTTCACAACATCCTGATGGATGACGATTTAGACAAATATTCACAGGAAGAACACAGAAAGGTATTCCTGACAGAATGGAAATTGAAATGACATAGGAAATCTAATTGCATAAACCAGTGCTCGTTTATTTACACATATAAATACACAGTTCTTGAATGCGCCTTTTAGTTCTTCCACATATTATGTTAAAAATAGCATTTCTTAATACGCCTCCTTGGCAATTCAAACACTGTACCTCATTTGCAGTCATTGGAACGAGCACTAACTGAAGTCGAGCTGCAAGTGGTCAAGTTGGAAAAGAGGGTAATTATATGCCACAATGGTGGGAAAAGCACTGATTTGATTTCGTATGCCTTACGTAAAACAAGCCGCACTGAACATTCAAGAAGGAAGTGTCGCAGGAGGCTACACCGATGGTGCGTTGTAGTTCACTGGCATTGTGCTTGAGGAACTTCTTCGAAAAGAGATGTCACCGGAAATAATATTAATCCACTGAAGTGCTTACAGTTACCTTTGCTGTATTTATTCGTTCACTTTAATTTAGGAAATAATCTCAAGTACATGCGTATTGCAAATACTATGTGATCTCGTCTCATTTCATTCAGTTTCACCTCCCTCCTCGTTGGCATCGCCTTACTGACTGCTTTGTGATGGGTGTGGTATTAAAGGGACACAAGAGTAAACCGACTTGTTCTGTTGAATCAGAGGCCAAGCAAGCCAAGATTGGGTGTTTCAGTGGATTCTCCTCTGTGCCAAATACAACTTTTCCCTTATTTGATTAACACTTTTGCATCGCAAACTGTGTACTTGGTGAATGAGCTAGGGAAGTGAGAAAGTCATGTTGTTCTGTTAGAAGGATGCACAATATGGAAGTGTAAGCGATTAATCAAAGGGTAAAATACAATGGTTAAATAAAGTTCATAGGCAAAAGGAATGCACAATTGTTCTTTTTCCGAATTGCCGGTTCATGGAGGCCAGCATAGGAGAGATGAGTTTGACAACGAGCAACGAGCAGATGAGTTGGATGAGGACATGCTCAAGTAGGTAGTGATAAATTACTACAGAAGCACAGATGTCAAGCGCGTGTTGAGTGTGCGTCTCCTCCTCGACGGAGTCCGATGGAATCCGGTCCATCACGAGGTTTGTATTGACTGA